CCGATTTGGGACTCAATCCCAGGACCCTGGAATCATAACTTGATCCGAAGACAGCCGCTTAACCCACTGAGCCACCCAGGCGCCCTATTTCCTACCCTTCTTGATATGACTTTTTCTTCATCTCTTTGGCTGTGGAAGAGTTTTCTGCTAGTCTCTAAGTCATTCTCAGAAAGAGTTGCTCCAGATGTATTTATAGCCTTGATGTGTCTCTGGAAGGAGGAGGTGAGCTCAGGATATTTCTACTCTGCCATCTTTCCCTCTAAGAGTGATAACTTGATTTCTAGTGTCCACATCCAAAGAGGAATTTTGACCCAGGATGGATGATACCCAGAGTTTAATCCATACCTATTTCAGGTGATGAGATTTGGTATTTTTGAGCTGATAATATTAAATGAGATTTTGGACCTGAGTTCATACTGCAATGTATTGAGAAATTGGGAGATTTGGTGATGTAGTACATGCATTTTACGTGTGCAATGGACATGAATCCTTGGGGACCAGAGGGCAGATTACAGGAGAGTGAATAATCCTCCCCAAAGATATTCTATTTTCTGGAATTTGTGTGTTACCTTACAATAATAACAAAAAAGACTTCGCGGATGTGATTAAATTAAAGATTTTCAGATAAGGAGATTATCCTGGATTATTTGGGTGGGTCCTAAATGTATCACAAGTGTCCTTATCAGAGGGAGGCAGAGGGAAATTTGACACCAACAGAAAAGAAGCGGGGGTGTGTGACCATGGAGGCAGAGATTAGAATGATGCAGCCACGGCCAAGGAATGCTGGCAGCCACCAGAAGCCAGAAGAGCAAAGAGCAGATTCTCTCCTAGAGTCTCTGAAAGGAGTGCAGCTCTGCTGACACTCTGATTTCAGCCCAGAGAAACTAATTTTAGACTTCTAACCTCCAGAACTGTGATAAGATAAATTTCTGTTGTTTTATGCCATGGCCTCTCAGCACATCTTCTGTAGAAAATGTTTTCTGACTGCAACAAGAGAAAGCAGAATACGCTATCCCCTCTGTTATGGAAATGTGACTAGAAGAGAGAGAGAGAGACTGTCCTGAACAAGTCTTAGACCTTGAAACTACCATGAGGAATTTTTCCGGTAGCTGAAGATGCTGTGCAAAACAAATTCTATTACTTGAGCCATCATTACAAATATTGTTAAGAAGTATCAAGATGTCCCTGCTCAGCAGGGAGCCTGCTTCACCCTCTCCATCTGCCTGCACTCCCCTTGCTTGTGCACTCCCCTTGCTTGTGCTTGCTCTCTCTGTCAAATGAATGAATAAAATCTTTTAAAAACTTTTTTTAATTTTAAAAAAGGGACTCCTGGGTGGCTCAGTCAGTTAAGAGTCTGCCTTCAGCTCAGGCCATGATCTCAGGGTCCTGGGATCAAGCCCCACATTGGGCTCCCTACTCAGCAGGGAGCCTGCTTCTCCCTCTTCCACTGCCTGTTGTTTCTCTTGCTTGTGAGCTCTCTCTCTCTCTCTGTCCTTGTCAAATGAATGAATAAAATCTTCTTAAAAATAAGACTCAGGTCATGATCCCAGCATCCTGGGATCAAGCCCTGCATCGGGCTCCCTGCTCCACGGGAAGCCTGCTTCTCCCTCTCCCACTCCCCCTGCTTGTGTTCCCTCTCTCGCTGTGTCTCTCACTGTCAGATAAATAAAATCTTTAAAAAAAAAAAATAAGAAGGGCGCCTGGGTGGCTCAGTTGGTTAAGCAACTGCCTTCGGCTCAGGTCATGATCCTGGAGTCCCTGGATCGAGTCCCGCATCGGGCTCCCTGCTCGGCAGGGAGTCTGCTTCTCCCTCTGACCCTCCCCCCTCTCATGTGCTCTCTCTCTCATCTCTCTCTCTCAAATAAATAAATAAAATCTTTAAAAAAAAATAAAAATAAAAATAAATAAGAAGTATCAAGATGAATATGGTGTTTACTCTCCCATTCCAAACTTTCAGATCTCTCAAGATTCAGTAGGGAACAGTAATAGGAGTGAAACATTCACCTCTGAGAAACACAGACTTGTCAAGAAAACACAAGTTTTTCTGGGCATCCCACCTTTAAGTGTCCCTTTTGTAAAGATCAAATTTTATCTGACAGCATTTATGGAATCACTGTAACAATGACCAGATAGTTCCTATTTCAGATAGTTCCTGTGATGTGTCCTATTTGTGTGTCTCTTCACTGGGGAGCTCCTAGGCAAATTACTAGAAATTTTGTTAGTCATCTAATCAAAAACATCAGATTGATTATGGATAATTTGTTCATCTTCATCTAGAGTGGGAAACGCAATATCAGACTGCTGTTGAAGAATCTTTTCAAGTAAACATATGAAGACTGGAGACATCTCTGTACCTTCATACCCGCAAGTGTTATCTTTAATGAAACAACTATAGGAAGTCACTGTTTCAATAATTTGATGTGTATATTAACAAAAGTAATTCAATCTAAAAAAAGTTTAAAATTTCTTAAGTCGCTAGAAAGGTCCTAGAAAAGAGCCCCATATCTGAGGAAGTTGGAGACTGATAGCAAGGATTTGAGGCAGTGGCCTCATATTCACCATTTATTAAAATGAAACAAAAGCAGAGCAGAGAGTAGCGAGATGTACACCAAGGGGAAGGGAACATCTGAGCATGCGCAGGAAGGGGCCTACGGAATCTGCAGTGGCCAATTCTTGCAGAGAGCAATCCTGCTTCAAGCTGGAGAATCAACCCACTTTGAAAAGATGGTCCTGTCCCTGGAGCTGGACTTTTAGACCCCGTTCCTGACTCACTTGCCCCGCCTACTCTCCTAACCCCTGATTGGACAGTTCAAGCTCATTAACTGTTCGGATCGGTTTATTACCCTTGGACAGTGGAATTATGGGATTTCGCCTCGTGGAGTGACCCTTCAGCGCCACCGCTTCCGCTCTTAGGTAAGCGCTTTCTTTGGACGATCTTGGACAGGTTGAAGATAGGCTGGTAAAAAAAGTGAGGAACCTCTGTAGATCACTCAAGTTCTTGCTGTACCTCGCAAAAGCCTCAAGATCCTTAGGACTGAGAAATGACTAAGCCTTTCGGGGCAATCCCAGTCAGGCAAAGATAAAACTAAAACTATTTTTGGTCTGTGAGACTTTCTAATTGCTCTTCCTGAGGGAAGAAGACCCCCCTCAGCCTGAGAAACCCCCAAATCAGCTAGTTGCCCCTAGATTTCTTTAACCAGAGATAAAAGCCACTGCCTAAGTGACTCTTTTATTGCATTCTCCAGGATAAAGCAGAAACTTTCTTGGCCTCAGAGACCCCTAAATTTCCTCTCCCTAAGAGATTCTCAATGCCGTCAGTGGAGAACACCAGACTGCTCCATTAAAAGCCTCCAAACTCTGGGGTGCCTGGATGGCCCAGTGGGTTGAGTCTGCCTTCAGCTCCAATGGTGATCCCAGGGTTCTGGAATCGAGTCCCGCATCGGGCTCCCTGCTCAGTGAGGAGTCTGCTTCTCCCTCTGCCCGCCCCGCCCCCACCCCGGCTCGTGCTCGTTCTCTCTCTCTCACAAAAATAAAATCTTTTTAAAAAATAAAACTCTCCACATTCTCAGCCTAAGTGAAGGCTGATCCTGTAGTCTTGGAGATTCCAGTTCTCTTCATACTAATAATTTTGTTTTTTTATAAAGATTTTCTTTATTTGCCAGAAAGAGAGAGAGAGCATGCCCAAGCAGGGGGAGGGGCAGAGGGAGAGGGAGAAGCAGGCTCCCCACTGAGCAGGGAGCCCAATATGGGGCTCGATCCCAGAACCCTGGGATTGTGACCTGAGCCAAAGGCAGACTCTTAACCGCCTGAGCCACCCAGGCGCCCTTCACACTAATAATTTTCAAATAACCTAGTAATGGGCTCTAAATCCACTCTATATTAGAGATCCTCATTTCTTTTCAACAGAGCAAAACCCCACATCCTTCTGCCTGAAAACCCAAACCCATCTGTCAGAGACACCATATAATCTATGGGACTTACCTCCCCATTCTTCTGCCTCAAAACACACCCCCTCCCCCTTCATAAAACTACATGTTCACTTCACTGCTTCCTCAACAAGTGTCTTTATACCTTTCCTTCAGGATAAGCCAAACTTCAGGCAAACTACTAACAACAGTAGCCAACTCCCTCTCAAAGTCTTAAGGCTGCTTTGATCATGCTTACAGAAAACCTGTCATCCCTAATCAGTACTTTTTTTTTTAAAGATTTATTTATTTATTTTTGAGAGAGTGAGAATGAGAGAGAGAGAGTACATGAGAGGGGGGAGGGTTAGAGGGAGAAGCAGGCTCCTCGCTGAGCAGGGAGCCCGATGCGGGACCCAATCCCAGGACCCCGGGATCATGACCTGAGCCGAAGGCAGTCGCTTAACCAACTGAGCCACCCAGGCGCCCCTCAATACTTTCTTTCATAGATCTCTGGCCCCCCGTTTTTTGTTTTTGTTTTGTTTTAATTTTTTTAATAGATTTTATTTATTTATTTGTCAGAGACAGAGAGAGAAAGCGAGCGAGCGCATGAGTGGGGGGGCAGAGGGAGAGGGAGAAGCAGGCTCCCCACTGAACAAGGAGCCTGATGCGGGGCTTGATCCCAGGACCCCAGGATCATGACCTGAGCCAAAGGCAGACACTTAACCAACTGAGCCACCCAGGCATCCCTGTTTTTGTTTTTGTTTTTTTAAAGATTTTATTTATTTATTTGTCAAAAAGAGAGAGAGAGCGCAAGCAAGGGGAGTGGCAGGCAGAGGGAGAAGCAAGCTTCCTGCTGAGCAAGGACCCCGATGCAGGGCTCTGTCCCAGGACCCTGGGATCATGACCTGAGCCGAAGGCAGACTTAACCGACTGAGCCATGCAGGCGTCTTGCCCCCTGTTTGTTTGACTCCCCCCACCCTTGTCCTTTCTCAGGGACAGATAAGCCCAGGATGGAGAAAAGTAGAACCTTGATTCCAGGTGATTGACTGAATGTGACCTACCCTCAGTGCTGTCTCCCTTCCTCAGGACCTTTGGCCTTGTGGCTGGAGAGATTAGGCTGCGTCCTTTCAAGATCAAACTATTCCCAGCGCCATGAATAAAGGCGGCTCCTTTTCAAAGAACTCCAAGGAGGATACCGAGAAGTCAGAGAAGAAATGCAAGGTGAGGTGATCTGGAGCGGGTAGGGGAATGGCTCAGGGGATACTCTAGAGGGACTAGATCTTGAGGAGGCAAGGTCAGAGGCACTGGGGAAAAGAAGGAGGGTGTCAGGGGGAGATCCAGAGCCTCCGGATTTTCCCACCTTCACTCTGTCCTCACCTAGCATCTCTGGAAACAACCGGTCTTATGACCTTGCACTGCATTTGGTGACTCTCAATCCATTCTGGAAGGTGAAAGAGCATGCCACCAGCGTTATGCATCTACTGCATGCCTGGGGAAAGGGTAGGGAATGTTACCCATGCTCTCTCAGTTAGCCTTGACATTAACCAGGAAAGGGATTATTCTCCCCAGTTCACAGATCCAACATGGAGGTCCTGTGGCAGAGGAAGAGACCCCCGCCGAAGATGAGGCATGTTTAGCTGAGTTGCTGCTCTTTTTTTTTTTTTCCCTAGGCCTTCAAGGATATTTCCAAATACTTCTCTAAGGAAGAGTGGGCAAATCTTGGATACTCAGATAAAATCACCTATGTGTACATGAAGAGAAACTATGACACCATGGCTAGTCTAGGTAAGAGAAAGTTCTGGGTGCAGACAAACCTGGGAACACATGACCATCCCTCAGTCCCTTACATGCCATGGCTTCTCCCTAGACTGCAGTAAGTGCCCTGCATCTTCCTTTTGTGCAGGGAGAAATCCCAGGGCAGTTTTGAGGCACTCTGTTCTTTTATATTCTGTGCAGGGCTGAGGACCTGGAGTGGCCACAAAGAGGCTCAGACCTAGATCCTGCCCGTTTCTCTTCTGGTCACCCTTGTTTGGAGTCCCCCAGCTGATGAGCTTGCCTGTCCCCCCTGCCTCCCAGGATTCTACCCCACATATGTCCTCTCAGGCTGTCTCTGAAGGAACAAATATTTTGCTTCTTTCTAGGTCTCAAGGCCACTCTCCCAGACTTCATGTGTCCTAAAAAAAGGGCCAACGAATCCAGTGGGTGTGATTCTGATGAAGATCAGAACCCCAAGAATCAGGGTGAGTGGAAGGAAGGGCCTGGACAGAGTCTCCTGAAGCCCAATTGTTTTGGGGTCCAAGTGCTTGGGAAGGATTCTCAGGAGTTTGTTCCCTCAAAAGCATCTTGGCTGAGTGAGAAGAGTTGGATTTAGAAGGTTAAGTAGAGTCAGAGGCCATTCATATAAAATCCCAAAACATGCAAACAAGAGGATATATTTTTATGGATAAGAAGTAAATGGTAAATGTATAAACCCTGAATGAGAATAAAACCCATCAAATTCAGGAGTGCAGGGGCGTCTGGGTGGCTCAGTCGTTAAGCGTCTGCCTTCCGCTCAGGTCATGATCCCGGGGTCCTGGGATCGAGCCCCACATCGGGCTCCCTGCTCAGCGGGAAGCCTGCTTCTCCCTCTCCCACTCCCCCTGCTTGTGTTCCCTCTCTCGCTGTGTCTCTCTCTGTCAAATAAATAAAATAAAATCTTAAAAAAAATTCAAGAGTGCAGAGGGAGGGAGGTCAGGGATCAGTGAGGACTGCACGGATGGCTTCAGCTGTGACTTGTTTATAGTGTTTGGTTATATTTTGAACAAAGATCTCAGAACAATCTGAAGCAGTTGTGGGATAATGGGAAGTTCTGAGTAGACTCAGTGGTAGATGTGCAAGTGTTTCCAAAATTATTCTCCATAATTTTCTGTACGCTTGAAACATTTCTTTTTTACAAGGAGTTATGGTTCTTGTTAAACACTGTTAATGAATCACAGAACAATTAAGAAAAATTTAATTGAAGTGTAAATCCATGTAGAGCGCCTGGCTGTCAGTAGAGCACGGGACGCTTGATCTCGGGGTCGTGAGTTCAAGCCCCATGTTGGGCATAGAGATTACTTTTTTAAAAAAGTGTAGGGATGGGGGTCCTGGGATCGAGCCCCGTGTCGGGCTCCCAGCTCGGGGGGAGTCTGCTTCTTCCTCTCCCTCTGTTGCTCCCCTTGCCTGTGCTCTCGCTCGCTCTCTCAAATAAATAAATAAATAAATAAATAAATAAATAAATAAATAATATTAAAAGTGTAGGGGTGCCTGGGTGGCTGAGTCGGTTGGGTGTCTGGCTCTTGATTTCAGCTCGGGTCATGGTCTCGGGGTCATGGGATCGTGCCCCACATTGGGCTCCATGCTCAGCTCAGAGTCTGCTTGTGCTTCTCCCTCCCCCCACTTGAGCTTGCTTGTGCTCTCTCTCTCTCTCTTAAATAAATAAATAGAATCTTTAAAAAAATAAAATTTAAATTCAAAAAAGTGTAAATCCACAAAAAAACTTCCAGAGTCAATTTCATAATAAGGCATAGGTGTTGGATAAATATCTTAAGAGAGAGCGATGAATGCATTATGAAATGACACACAGCTATTTCCTTATGTATTACCTAAACTAAATAGTCTTCTTGCTCCTCAGCAAACCTGATTCTATGTGTTGAGCTTGAGAGAGGGTTTGAGAAAGTGATCCTCCACACATTAGCTTTTCTCCTTATCAGTGAGCAGAGGTAACATATGGTGAAAAGGGTAGCAGATTCTAGAAATCTTTGTGTATTTGATCAGTTTGTGTACTCACCATAAAGGGGATGAAATGTATTCCCTTGCTTTTCTGCTCTGACAGCACAGCAGTAAGCAGAGACAGAATTGCCAAACTGTCCCCAACAGACCTATGACTCTCCAGGTAAACAGGCCAGATTCTACAAGCTCCCAAAATTGCTGAGAGGGCTGAAAATCCAGTTCTTGAGAATCTACAAAGCTTTTGACACTAAAGGAGTACCTTTTTAAAAAAAGATTTTACTTATTTATTTGTCAGAGAGAGAGAGAGCACGCCCGCAAAGCAGGGGGAGGGGCAGAGGGAGAAACAGACCCCCCCCCCCCCCGCCGAGCAGGGAGCCCGACGCGGGGCTCGATCCCAGGACCCTGGGAACATGACCTGAGCCGAAGGCAGATGCTTGACCTACTGAGCCACCCAGGTGTCCCTAAAGGAGTATCTTTATACTGGAAATACTCCAGAACCAATGGGGCAAATCACCCATAATTCCTCATGCACCTAACGGCTTTGTTCAAGTATAATTGGCATACTATAAAATTTACCTGGTTTAAGTGGACAGTGATTTTAGTTGCCACATCCCTTTAAGTGAATGCAATCAATTTAATTTAATTAATTCAATCAGTGTAATTCTTTGCGGGGAAAGGTAAGAAATATGTAGTAGAATAGGATGAGGCAGTGATGGGGTTTGGTTCACATTTTATAAATCATCAGAAGGAAAATTACAAATTGGTGCTACAAATAAATGTATAAACCATGATTTAAAGATAATTCAAAAGCCAGTCTCAAAATAACTCTTTGACAATAAGTGGACTCATAACCCTTTCCTGCAGAATTCCCTGATACTACAGGAGTCTCTGGAGTTTGGGACTATTTGCCAACAAAGAAAAATTCCCGTTTATCACTTTCTTTCAGGTGAACCTCCTCAGGGGCCTTCTGATGTGCAAGATCAAAAGCAAATGAAGGTGAGTATCTCCCAAATCTAAAGAACCAGAGACTCTTTCTCCCTCCACGGATGTGAATATCGGTAAGAGTGGGAGAATATTGAATATAGCCTGTCCCTCACTGCCTCCCTTTCCTGATCTCTTTATCACAATTCCTGATGTAGCATCAACGGCTTAATAATGAATAATTGTGATAGTTGATACTACTTTTGTTTTCATAGTGATGTCAGATATTTTAAGCAGTTCACAAGGATTAATTTCTTTAATCCTTCAGAAAACCTCTATGACGTTTTCCTATCATTATTCCCAGATAATAATGAGGATGTTAATAATAATAATAACTAATCATAAAGATGAGGATATTGTGGTGCCGAGATTCTAAGTAATTTGCCTGAGACCACAGAGGCAGTGGTAGTAATCTGTACATTTGAAACATTTCTTTTTTTAAAGCGTTTATTGTTCTTGCTAAACACTGTTAATGAATCACAGGACAATTTAAGAAAAGCCCCGAATGATTTCCCAGCTCATGAAACTTTTCATGTGTTTATGAAGTTCAAGGGCTCCCCCGCCCCGCCTGCCGCCGCAGGGGCTTTACCCCACAGTAGCTGCTGATGCTTCCAATTAGACACCCACTCTCGAAACAGAAAGTACCAGCTCCCCTCTGCTCTGTGGCAGGGCCGGTCTCTCCCGGCTTGAGAATGGTGGGCTGTCTGCCCCTCCCTGCTATGAGCTCCTTTGGGGCCTTGTCTGCACCTGAGGCATCTCTGAAGCCAACGAAAGCGGCCCAGGGGGACCCTCTGAGGTGCCCCAAATTGATCCTTGAGTAAGTGATTCCGCAGTTGTAGATTAAACTCTACTTTAGAGGGTCGAGGACCTGGGGAGTTGGATTGCCAGTGTGGGGACCTTTGAGACAATTCAAAGAAGGATCATAAGAGAAAGTATTCATTTTCATTATTACCACATTGAAAAGTGTTTGCAAGCTCAGAAAGTACTTTCCCTTAGCTTCTTTTACTTTTCCTGTTCACTGTTTCCTCAGTGAGGGAGCTGAAGGAAAGGTAGCTTAAGATTGTTGGTCAGTGGGCGCCTGGGTGGCTCAGTCGTTAAGCGTCTGCCTTCGGCTCAGGTCATGATCCCAGGGTCCTGGGATCGAGCCCCGCATCGGGCTCCCTGCTCGGCGGGAAGCCTGCTTCTCCCTCTCCCACTCCCCCTGCTTGTGTTCCCTCTCTCACTGTCGTCTGTCAAATAAATAAAATCTTAAAAAAAAAAAGATATTAAAAAAAAAAAGATTGTTGGTCAGTGACGCACCATGACGCAAGCAAAATTGGTACGGGAGCCATCTTGTCTAATTTCCCATTAACCGTTCTTGCCAGGGCAGGACAGAATATGACATCTGGCGCTGCTTTCTTTGCTGTCTATATTAATTGCTGTGAACCATTCCTTTCCTCTCCCCTGTGCTCATCTCCCCTGTACCATTTTCCAGCAGTGTTCTGTCCCCCTGTGAATTTTTACATTTATTCTCCCAGCAGCTCTCTACTAGCTTATATGCAATCCCTTATATTTTATAGAAGCCCCTCCTTTCTTCTAGAGACCACGTGGATTCTTAGAATGCTACTCTTCCCCAAATTTTCTGTATACCACACTCCACTTAAGTGGAGCATTTTGCTGTTTGCAAGAATGGGTGAAGACAAACGTTCTAGTCCTGGAAACACCCTTCATTTAAGCCATTCCTTTTTGTTCTAACCTTACTCATAATTTAGGTACAGGGGATATAATGATCTCCCAGAGTTGTTGAAGCCATTAACCAAGGTATGCATGTGAAGATACTTTGTAAGCTCTAAAGCACTAGAGAAATGTCATTGATACCGTTTACATGTGACCTTCACATTAAAAAGGTGATGCTCGAGAAACAAATAAAGGAAGAAAGTGATTCAGAACCAATACCAATAACACCTGGCTCTGAGCAGCCTCAGAAAGAGCTGTGCCCCCTGGGAAAAGCAAGTACCTCTGGTCAAGAGAGTGAGAACATACCAGGTAAGGGGCGCCTGGGTGGCTCAGTCGGTTAAACGTCTGCCTTCGGCTCAGGTCACGATCCCAGGGTCCTGGGATCGAGCCCCACATCGGGCTCCCTGCTCAGTGGGGAGCGTGCTTCTCCCTCTCCCACTCCCCCGGCTTGTGTTCCCTCTCTTGCTGTCTCTCTGTCTGTCAAAGAAATAAATTAAAAAATCTTAAAAAAAGATAAATAAAAGAAGATACCAGGTAAGAGGTAGCTATGTGGGAACAACTACTCTGTCTTTCCTGGCTATGTTCAAGTATGTGGTCTAGGTATGGGGGATGGATCCTGGACAGGCTTGGGCCAGACCTGACTGAGGAGCTCGCCCAGCTCCAGCTGAGATGTTAGAACATGACTTCCAGAGTCATAGACTTGAATTGTCATTGATATAAAAGCCAAGTGATTCTAGGCAAGTCTTCTGAATTCTCTGAACTCCAGGTTCCTAGTCCATAAAACGGAAATAATCTTGGTTCACAAATTGTTCAAAGGCGTTAAATCTAGAAAGCCTGGACAACATGGAAGGTGGTCAAGTAATTCCATCTGTGATAACCTGGGAACATATCTTACTCACAGTTGTATCCCCAGCCCTCAGCTCAATGCCTGACACACTATATACCCTTAACAAACATATGCTGAATGAAAGAAGGTCTGAATGAATGTTCTGGTAAGTAAAGAGGTTGGGAATCTAAACCTGACAATGGGAGGAGCCAGAAGCTAAAATTCTAACTGGCATTTGGTGTGTATTGGTGAGGGTCTACATATCAGCCTCTCTGAGCCAGAAGATGTGAAAAACAGACTATGTCGAATGCCTGTGGGCACTCGGGAGGGAAGAGGCATCTCCTCATCTGACAAAACAGAGACTAACCCTCCCCAGCCCATCCATCCCCCATTTACCAACTCTTGTCCACCATAGGACCCAGGAAACGGATGAGTAGTATTTGGGCCTGCAGACTGCGGGAAAGAAAGAACCTAATAGTGTATGAAGAGATCAGTGATCCTGAGGAAGATGACTAACTCCGTAAGTGACCCTTCGTGGTCCACACCTGCACCCCTCTGCAAAATGTGCGTTTCTGTTATGGTACTGGTGTCCCATCTTGTCGCTTGCTCCCCAAGTCATTCCTTTCTCCTAGTCCCTTGAGGTGCAGCATTGAGGCTAAATGATGAGGTTTCCCACGCTCTTTGTGCTCCCTGCTATGTATAGCCAGGGATCCTCGCTACCTAGAATGCTGTGGGCTCCCAAATCTCATGATGTGTAGGCCACACCTTCCTCTAGCCTAGAAACTCATAAGACAGGTAAGGGAGTCACTGTGGCCTGAGCATAAGGTTCTGTTTGAGGAGCAGTGGGAGGTGCTTGGAGATCATGAGGTAGGGCAGAATCCGAGTGCTCGGGTTCCTGCAAGCCCGAAGGAAGAATTTGGTGTTGATTTATCCGGCAATCGGAGCTCACTGCCACTCATGTTCCTTCTCTTTCCTTGCCTCAACCTCAGGGATGTGACAAGTGCCCATGATAAGAAGCAGAACCTGGTGGCCTTTCACGAACATGGGCATGGCTGTGAACTCCTAGCCATCAGGTGTATAGCGAGTAAAAGACAGAGTTCACAATAGTGAAAAGTTGAGCGTGATTTCTCTTACTCTGCGACAAATATTCTGTTAGATATTAGAGTTTTGTTAATGAACAAAACATATACCTAATGCATATTTCTTTCTGTTTATCCATGCACTTAACCTTAGAAAATAAGTATTGTTGGGTATTCTCTGCCCAGAACGGCACGACCCTCCTCCCCTGATGTGATTGCTGGAGGGCAGTTCTGGGTGATTCCACGTGTTTTTCTCTGCATTTACACACACACACTGTACCACTATAAGTATCTCCCACCTGCTTTTCCCCACTGCCTGCACATCCTGGACAAGTACCCCTCATTTTGTTCCCATTCAACAGGTGCTCCATGGTGCACACCCCCATCATTCATTTACATTGCAGCAGTCATTGATAATTAATAAACATTTACGAGTTTCTCTCAGTTTGCTCCTCTCGTTCTTGGGCACAGAGCCCTGTACATATATGTGTGAGTGTTTCTTTAGCACACAGTCTTAGAAGTGGAATTGTCGTGTCAAGGGTTCATTCATTCAAGAAACACCTACTGAGGGCGCCTGGGTGGCTCAGTTGGTTAAGCGACTGCCTTCAGCTCAGGTCATGATCCTGGAGTCCTGGGATCGAGTCCCACATCGGGCTCCCTGCTCGGCAGGGAGTCTGCTTCTCCCTCTGACCCTCCCCCCCCTCATGTACTCTCTCTCTCATTCTCGCTCTCTCAAATAAATAAATAAATCTTTAAAAAAAAAAAAAAAAGAAACACCTACTGAACATGTCCTGTGCAACGAGCACTGCTCTAGGTGCTGGGAAAACATCAGGGAACATGACAGACAAATGTCCCAGCTCATGTGGAGCTGACATTCTAATGGGGGATGTTTTCAGTTTTCGTTTTGACGGACACTGTACACCCCAGTCCTGGGCCTGTGCCGGTTGGACACCTTGGCCTTTGTTCTCTGTAAGATCTCCAGGGTCAGGGGCTGGGATGGTCCATTTAGAAGTCTGTGAGACGAGGCGCCTGGGGGGCTCAGTCAGTGAAGCATCTGCCTTCAGCTCAGGTCGTGATCCCGGGGTCCTGAGATCGAGCCCCGCATCGGGCTCCCTGCTCGGCAGGGAGCCTGCTTCTCCCTCTGCCTGCTGCTGCCCCTGTTCGTGCTGGCTCTCCCTCTCTGTCTCTGACAAATAAATAAAATCTTTAAAATTCTAATTTAATCTAAATTTAAAAATTTTTAAAAGAATTTATCCTTGGGCGCCTGGGTGGCTCAGTTGGTTAAGCGACTGCTTTCGGCTCAGGTCATGATCCTGGAGTCCCGGGATCGAGTGCCGCATCGGGGGGCTCCCTGCTCAGCAGGGAGTCTGCTTCTCCCTCTGACCCTCTTCCCTCCCGTGCTCTCTATCTCTCATTCTCTCTCTCTCTCTCTCTCTCTCTCAAATAAATAAAATCTTAAAAAAAAGAATTTATCCTTAAAAACACTTTTCTTCCCAAATCAATAGAATCTTGGGTGGGATGGGAGATAGACGTTCAGGCTCTATTTGCCATCCTCCTCCAATCATCTGTTTTTAGATATGTTCTATATTTTTGTCACTATATGAATGTGATTTTCCTCCATTTAATTCTCTAAAAGGTTCTTCTTGGCATACAGAAACCCATCAGTTATCGTATATAAGGGGTCCCTGGCTGGCTCAGTGGGTAGAGCATGCAACTCTAAATCTCTGGGTCGTGAGTTCAAGCCCCACATTGGGCATGGAGCCTACTAAAAAAAATAAAAAATAAATTATTGTATATAGTATTTTGTAACCTGACTATGTGCAGGTCCCTTTGGGGGTGTAGTTTTTTGGGGGGTTGTTTTGTTTTGTTTGGCTTATAACAACAAACATTTTATTTGCTCCCGATTTTACGGGTCAGCTCTTGGGGTTGGGCCAGGGAGTTCTTTTGCTGGTCTTGCCTGGGATCACTCGTACGATTACAGTCAGCTAGCAGGCTGGTAGGGGCCTCCGCCAGCATGCGTCTTTGCTTCCTGTGGTCTAATCCTCAAACAGGCCAGCCTGGGCTTCTTGACACGGCCGGCTGAGGTCCTTTGAGACCTGCTCCTGCCCCAGGCTCTCTCTGTAGGCTCCCTTGCATCCAGGCTAGCACAGGACTCCATCTGCTTTATTCTCGGAAAAGAAAATTCCTTTCGCAAGGCAATATCATTCTAAAAGGGCAATCTATTGCAGCAGATTTCATAGAGAAGACTGATGGGGGTGAAGGAAGTATGTATTTTACAGAGCTGAGCAGTTCATTGCAAAAATCACCTAAACCACCTTTTCTCCCCCAAAATATCACCCTTAAGCTATTCGACTACTGGTTCTGTAGCTGGGGTGTGGGAGAGCAAGAGCACCTGGCTCTGGGGCGGGGGAGTCCCACACAGCCCAGGTTTGGCCACTCACCACTGATAAAAATCCCATGGCAAAGGACCAAGTGGTGGTGAAATAAATGAATTTATTTCACCGGGAATACTGCGGACTAGTGTCTCAAAGATTGCCTCCAAAGTGCCAGAGAACACTTCCGGGTTTATACACGGAAAATGTGGGGCAAAGGTGGGTGGGTAAGTGCAGGTAGGCCCGGAAGGTCAAAGGGATCATTGTCTTGGGGTCAGTCACACGTGAGCGCCTTGCTGGCTCAGGGCAGTCCTTCTTGCTTGAGGGGGTATCTGTCTGGGGACGCTTTGCCCTGGGGTCTTCGACCTGAGCCAAGAGACAAACTGGAAAGAAGAACCCAACTAGAAAGTCTGAGGTCAAAGTAGATGCAGCTGAAGTCCCCTTTCAGTTTTATTCCTTCTAAGACAGAGAAACTGAAGGGACCCCGTGAGAGACTGCTTTCTTGCTGCTTTTATTCTTTCTTATTTTTTTTTAAGATTTTATTTATTTGGGGCGCCTGGGTGGCTCAGTTGGTTGGGCGACTGCCTTCGGCTCAGGTCATGGTCCTGGAGTCCCGGGATCGAGTCCCGCATCGGGCTCCCTGCTCACGGGGGGTCTGCTTCTCCCTCTGACCCTCTTCCCTCTTGTGCTCTCTCTCTCTCTCATTCTCTCTCAAATAAATAAACTCTTTAAAAAAAAGATTTTATTTATTTGACAGAGAGAGACACAGCGAGAGAGGAAACACAAGCAGGGGGAGTGGGAGAGGGAGAAGCAGGCTCCCCGCGGAGCAGAGAGCCTGATGTGGGGCTGGATCCCAGGACCCTGAGATCATGACCTGAGCCCAAGGCAGACGCTTAACCAACTGAGCCACCCAGGGGCCCTAAAATCTCCTCCTTAAAAAAAAAAAAGAAAGAAAGAAAAACTTCAGACCCTAAGCGAAGACGAGTCTCTCTCTCCTTTCCTTTCTAGTCTCCCAGACACTCTGCCTGCTGTACTCTATCACATATACTATTCAACAAACTCAACAAACTCTGCTCTCATTTCCTCTTCAATTCTTCATTTCTATTCCTGTGTGAAGTCAAGGACCTTCTTAGCTGGTTCTGGGGGACCCCCTCTAGGTCCCTGGACCCAGCCAGCCTGCATCACTTCCATCTATCCCCAATCCTAATATTTGCCCTTTTTATCTTGGGACAATTTTATTCTGCTCAGACTTGGGTTGTCCCGAACCAACACTTAACATTGGCTTCACGAGTTCGAATGACCATTGTTCAAGCTCAGATCCCCAAAGAAACAGACTTTGGGGCATATAGGACGTCTCCAGACAGATTACACAGAGAAATCCAGCTCAAAACAGTGCATGAGGAGAGGGAGGGAGGAGAGAATTTACCTGCCTAGCCCACTCCCAGTTCTTTTTTTTTTATTGATCAAAAAGCACCCCACAGGCATTAACTCCCCACATTTCTAGATCGCATCACTTGACCCCTTCGGCAGCTGTTTGGGAAGCCAGTCTGCACACTCTTAAGATGCAGTTTCATACAGTCCAGCAGTGATGGGAAAAGCCAAAAAGGCCAGGCATGCAGCTCATTGGCCTGGCTTTACGGTGGCATCCAAGGGTGAGAGCTAAATACTCCCAGGCAAGTCCTAAGTTCAGCAGGTAGTTATAATAATAGTCATCTGTGCTAGCTAATTGCCTTTATCCGGAGGAAAGATTAAACTATCTCCATGATAAGCGGGTGCTTATAGCTTGGAGCCAGGTGCCTAGGCTAAACTCGCAGGTGACAGGGAACTGGGCGCTTATCTTCGTTGAGATCCACATTTCAAAGAGACGACTCCAACACTCTTAAGAAAGGCATTCCTGGGTTATAGGCTGGCAACAGGCTTATTTGGGTCTTAAAAAGACGGACATACATATCAAAGGGGCAGAGAAGGATTCACAAATCCTAGGTTTCTCAAGGAAACCTTGAAGAAAAGTACGGGAGGGGAAGTCTCTTTCCTTTTTGGGCAACCGGGAAAATTCACTCTTGTGCTTATTTACCCTAACAGTGTTCCTCTTTGGTTATTCTACCATTTTTAAAGGATATCCACTACTGGGGCACCTGGGTAGCTCAGTCGGTTGAGCCACCGAGTCCCGATTTCAGCTCAGGTCAAGTTCTCATAGGCTGTGGGATCGAGCCCCGAGCCAGGCTCTGCGCTCAGCTAGAGGCCGCTTGAGGATTCTCTCCCTCGTCGCCCCCCCCCCACCTACTTGTGGGCACATGTGTGGTCTCTCTAGATAAATAAATCTTTTTAAAAAATTATCTCCACTGCCATTTCTGCCTTTCTCTGGGAGTTTGTTGCTGCCTAAATATTCTGTAAATCCGTAGTAAGATGCAAAGGAAAGCAATCCTCAGAATTACAACAGAATGAATTTAAAAGTTCAATAGAATACTCACCCTTGGTGGCCAAAGGGAAACCTTTATGTCTTACCAGTGGTGAATAGCTAAAGCAGGTTCTTTCTGGGCGCCTGGGTGGCTCAGTTGGTTAAGCGACTG